CACACCAGCTGAGAGAGCAATACAGCCAGAGCTGAGAGAGAAACAGAAAATCACTCTAGCAAACTGTAAATACTGACACACCAGCTGAGAGAGCACTACAGCCAGAGCTGAGAGAGGGACAGACAGGAGAGTTTTAATTCTGACACGCCAGTATTACATTGAGTCAGCACTACGATAAGTCAACACACATCTGAGAAGGGAAAGAAGTAGGGGAGGCTGCAGACCGACTGGGTGCTACATTTTAAAAGTCAGCTGAGCAAGAATATTAACACAATAGGACAATATAGACCCACCTTTAGGACACTTTTTGCAGCATTTCTCCTTGTCTTTATATTCTCCCACTGGGCAAGTAATCTCAGTGGAGTTCATCTTCTTTCACCGCTAGTCTGAATGATGTCGTCCCTTCTTCCTCCCTCTGTGTCTGAAACGTGATCTCTCTCTTTCTCTCCTCTGCTCGCCCGTGTTTCGCTCCTCTCCACCGTAGTTACAGTAGGTCTGCCTTTGTGTTAACACTGTCCGCCTACTGTACGTCTGGCCTCTCTCTCCCCGACCCCTCACCACACTATTTCTGAGCACACAGTGGAAAACCCCTCCTCCCTCTTCCTCTCCCCCCCGCTCCCCCTCTCCCTCCTCTGTGCTCTCACTTCCTCTGAACTTTAAATTACAGCTCTCTATTGTGGTTTCCCTTTAGTGTATCTGAAGTGACAGCACTGTATGCTGTGAAAAGAGTTACTGTACATCTCTTCCTCGTTCTTTCCCTCTGACTGTCCTGGGCAACTTACAGTGGTACTGTACTTTAGAAATGTTAGAGAGAGAAAGAGTCTGTATTCTTTGTCTGCATATCCATTTTTCTGTGTCCATCTTTCTCCTAATGTGACCATGCACTCGGAGCGTGTGAGCACTGCAACCCTGAGTTGGCTACCCCTCACACAGATGTCTGTCGATGCCCTGCTAGTGTTCATTCGGGGTGTTTATGTCTCACCCCTCCTCTCTCACTATTTCAGCTCTCTTCCTCTGGCATCTCGCCATTCAAGATTTGAAGCAGTTGTAGTGGATGTGACAATCTGGCTGAAACCACAAACAGTGCCGGGGGAAGGGCCAAAGATATGACAAAGCTACTTTTAGAGCAGCTAAACAGAATGATTGACAACCTTCTTATGGTTGCACGCAGACTGTATGGATTAGCTCACAAACGTGAATTCCCGCCGCGCACAGTGTGGGTACGGCTTTTCTCCTTCTGTGTGGTTGGTGGTGACGTGATGTAGTTTTGGTTGTCATCCTGTCTTCCTGTCTGTCTTTTTCACCCTGTCTCACCTTTTGCAGCGCTCATGTCCTGTACTGCCTGGCTGGCCCGTGAGTGCGATTCCAGTAACCCTCCCCTCCTCCCCTCTCTGACCAAAAAGCAAACACACAAAAACATTGATTTTGGAAGAGAAAAGAAATCGAGCGAGTCACAGAAAGGTAGAGACATCAGAAAAGTGACAAGCAGTGACTTTGTGCAGTATGATCAGGTAGGTCTGCTTTTAATCTGACCAAATATCCACCATTTATAGCTTAATTTGCTAATTAGCTGAATTAGCTGAATGGCAGGCAAATAAACTGTTTGATGGTGTTTTGTTCTCTCGAGAGGTGCTTCAGCCTGTCTCTGTATTCCTTCCCTCCACAGACACCTTTGGGTGTTGTGTTTAGAGCCCCTTAAAAATCTGTTTTGGATCTGTAGATACAACCTGAAGGGTCTGATCCTGCTCGAAATTCTGGCCTTTTGAAAAGCCGATGCATAAGCAGAAAAGTGGGTCGTCTTATTTAAGTACGCTGGCACTAATCTAGGCAGAATCAAAAAGTCTTCCTGCCCAGAACAGTTCCAAAACCCTTTCGGAAATCGGGAGATTCTAGCTGTTTGGCTGTATCGGAGGCATCAATGTCTGTGCTTTGCGAGTCGGTGAATCGGCTTGTTTTGCTGTCCACAGGCATAGTGGGATTGTGAAACTCTCTCTCCAGGAGGTTTCTGCATGGGTATGTTAGATTTTCACTGCGAGACGGAGTCAGGGAGCTCTCAGCTGCTCCAGAGCCTTGTATGGAATTGAGACACATTAAAAACAAAAGAGATGCTGATTGATCCAGTAAGTTTTTAATGCCGCATGGCATATACAGGGAAGAAGTCTAAATCAAGCTGTTTCAATATTGGATAAAATGCCGTGCGAAGTGAGAACAGGAAGCTGTTCTCTATTGTTGTAATGGCTGCCCTGCCCCTCTCGAGCGTTCCGCTACTGTGCTAAGTTCTGCGTCACAGACAAGCAACCCTTCCCACACCGCAGGAGGTCAGCCTGCCCTCGGAAAGTTAGCGGGATTGGACGAGCCGTTGGAAGAGCTGGGGACACTTGGCTCCAGGGGTTTCTAGGAAAAAGACTCACGGCTCTGGTGCATCTGTTTTTCCACTTTATGAGGGATAACAATGGCCTGGAAGAAAATAGAATAGGCATGCAATGTTTGTGAGAAGCAGCATGTTGGCTGACCTGGCTCAACCAGCTTGAATAAAAAGTCCTCCCAACCCCTCCCTCCCCTCTAGGATGAGGAAATTAGGAATACTTCCGAAACAGCTGGAAATCCTCCTCTCGCTTTGGAACCATTCTTGTGTTTTTCTTCCTGCGCAGAGAGAGATGTTAACCACGGGGCAGCTGCTCAGGTGGAGAGGGTTGCAGAAAGGTGCATCCAAGGAAGAGAGAGGGTCCGACTGCGGAAATTCTCTCTTATCTGGAGGCGAGATCCTGGAGGATTATGGGAATTTGGTTGCCTTCATGCCTCCTGAACCTCAGTTCAAACACTTCTTTTTGGACACGCACACCACTTTTTCCAGATTAGCGGCCAAGGTCACGGCCGATGCTCTTTCAGGACAGTCTCTCCAGGTTTCTCTTCCCTCTGTAGAGGAGTGGTTTCCAATCCTGGCCTTGGTGAGACACACGCCTGCTGGATTTTGTGCCAGCTTAGCCCACGATCAAACCCTTCATTGACTTCATAATAATCAGGTTCATTTGACCTGTCTGTCCCCAGCTATTAAACAGGCTAGAGCTTCAACCTTTGTATTCTGTAAGTGAAAGAAAAGCCCAAGCTTGTGACTAGAAACATAATGCAACTATTCAATTGAAGTACTGTAAGTACTTCGATCCAGTAAGGCTTCACTGATCTAATGCAGGTGAGCAGGAATGAAAACCAGCAGGTGTGTGAGTCCCCCTGATCAGGACTGGGCCTTAACACGGATATGTCTCTGTGGCAGGCCAGCTCCGTCCATGCAAGAGGAGAAGGGTGAGAGTCACATTCTCACATGGGTGCCATTGAGAGTACCTCTCGAGTTACGTTGCTAGAGCAGGTTTCCTTTGGTGTCTGTCGTGGAACATGGCTGAAATAATGTCTCATTTCTCAGTCGCCTTTGTTTCCATCGCGGTTTTGACGCGGCTGACCTGTCCCGCCCTCAGTTTCACCAGAGTCAGCGCAGCCTCGCTTGCATTCACAGTTGTAACGTTTTATTGTATGTGGTGCATCAGTGTCCTCGTAGCCAGTCTCAGAAAAAATCTTTCAATGCTGCCCTTGTGCTGCACAAAAACAGCAGGACTCAAATGAGCTAAAAAGATTGACTGAATTCCTTTCCAGAAGGTTCATTGTCAAAATCCTCTGGATTGTGCTCGATGCCATCTTTGGTCTAAGTGCTTTTTTATTCTATTAACACAGCGTCTTGGCTGGCCTTTGTATAACTTAGTATAACTTTGAGTGTTTTTCAGGCTGATGTCTAACTAGCTCTCTGTGATTAGCTCTACTTTTGCAGGTGGGTCTTACAAAGAAAGTCATATAAGGTCACACCTTAAACAGAAAACCCACTGCTGAAGACAACGGTTAGAATTGTTCATGGGTCTAAAAATATCCCCTTAGGGCTAATCTTAGATAATGTAGGCGTGAACGCTTGAGTTAAAAATGTTACCTGAAATCAATTTACCTATCTTGGTGTTAAATGAAAAGCTGCTTTTTATGCACATTTTGTTTCAGATCTTTTCAACCAAAGCACTGTTCATGTAAGCTGAGACTGATGACTAAGACAGAGGCTTTCTGATTCATTGTGCTTACTTAGCGACGTTTGAATCTGCATCTATGCACATAGTCATTCGGCTATCAGTGACCTATCTAGTTAAATGGTAAGATGATGAGAATTGGGGTTTCAGTTTTTCAGCTTCTTCAGTTAGCAAGTCATTCAATTTAACACTAAACCACATGGGCTGCTAAATACATCTTACATTAATTTGTGGATAATTCACACTTATGTCTGAAGATGACACACTGCTTTTCTCCCAGATTTGTTTTATATTGTTAGAAAAATTTACATCTTGGCTCTCCTAGTCAGACTCCACCTTATATTAAAAATTCAAAATATATCCCCAGTTTTAGCACCTGACAATACCTGACAAATTGTCAAATTTCAACATGTTACTCAAGGGAACTTTCAGAAGTTTTTATTTTTTGTGGTGCATGATCTCAAGCAACAGATAACAGATGATGATTTTTTAAGATCATTCTTCTGGCAGTAGAAGAATTTGTAAATCCGCAAAACTAACACTGGGGTCTCAAACTCTGGTCCTTCAGATCCTCAGTTCAGCATGTTTTAGAGGTAACGTTCGAATCATCAACGTCTTATGCCTTGAAACTACTTCACTGCAAACAATGAAGCAGTGATTAGTTAAATTAAGCAAATTAATGATCATCTGGGGTCAGACATCTCAGTACATAAGAAATGTTACAAATGAGATGTTGCCAGTCATCCCATGGCAGTTAGTAGCAAACCTGACGATCTCATTAATCCATTTCTTGAAAGACACCAGGGTATTGGCTTTGTCAGTGTGGCTGGGTAGCTTGTTCCAAACTCCCACATCTCTCTGTGTAAAGTAGAGCCTCCTGTCCTGATTGGAGGATCTCATCCAGCCGTTTCATGAAAGAAGCCAGGATGTCCTCTTTGACAGCATCCTGGTTCCGCATTCCCATCCCATTTTGTCCCATTTTATCTGCATTAAAAACCGTTGCCTGGAGAATGTTGTGCTTTGTGGGACAATGTCCTGTCAGTGTTGGGTTTCTGAATTGGTGGCAGTTGTGCTGCCACTACAGTACTGTGAGACGATGTCTTGATGGAAATGAAGTGTCTAGACCGTAATAAAAACCAGCAGGTTCAGGAGTTCTACTATTCATCTGCAAGATGCCGAGATGGACAATTTGTGTCAAAGAAGAATGCTGGAACGTAATCAGCACAACATTTTAAAACCCTCCAGCGACCAATTTTGCCCTCTGGTTAAGGCGACTAATCTTATCAGTGATTGTGGTTGTCCTGTTACCGCCCATGTCGTGACAAAACAAGGGCATCTTTATCTTCAACACCATAACAATCAGTATTGTCACCAGGCTCGAAGCGGACCTTTCAGGTCACACTGGTTTGTAGATCTGTAAGAGCAATTCATCGGAAGTATTTATTTTTATCACTGAGAAACAAGAAATGCAATCTACGGTATATAAACGGCTGCTGTTTAAGACACAGGATAAAACAAGAATTGAACAAGTGTTTAAGAAGTCACTCTAATGTGATCTTACATACCCCCTCCCCTCCTCCACCCCTGCCCCCACTGGAAACTTAAATGCAATCTTTCTCAAACCACTTTAAACGCTGCTTTGCGTCACAGCCAGCACTCTCCGGCTCGCTGAGCTGTGCTTGCTTCCTCTGCTTGCTAAATCGATCAGCTACCAAGTTCAAACAAACCGTTTTGCAGGACAGACATTAATGGAGTCACAAAATGATTCAATTCTAAGAATTGCGCTTTTCTTGTCTGCGCATGTAGTCAAGAAGCAATTCTTGTTAATTTCTTTCTGCTCTATCTTGCTGCCCTCCTTATACTGCTCTTGCGCTCATTCTCTCTCCTTGTCCCTCTTTCTCGATGAAGGCAGTATTAAACTTATGTGCTGAAGTAAAGCATTTGTTCAGTATGTCAGCACTTTATTAACGCACTCCTTTTTTCCATCTTGGCTCCAGGCTTCCTCTGCTGCTCTCTCTCTCCCTCTTCCTCTCTCCCTCCCTCTTCCTCTCTCCCTCCCTCTCGCTGGCTCTCTCAGGCTGGCTGCAGTCGCCGCAATATCCTGAGGGGTACCCCGAGGATGTAAACGAAATGTGGGAGCTGCCAGTGCCCCAAGGGTTTGCCCTGACGCTGCAGCTCATCCATCTGGACCTGGAAGAAAGTGAGGGGTGTCAGCATGATGCACTCAATGTGAGGAGATGTCTTCATCACCATCATCTTCAGCACCATTAACATCTGAACTGTCATCTTCATCACCATCAACTTCAGCACCACTAACATCTGAACTATCATCTCCTTCACCTTCATCTTCAGCATCACTTACATCTGAACTGTCATCTCCATCACATTCGTCTTCATTACCCACTAACATCTGAACTATCATCTCCATCACCTTCATCTTCAGCACCACTAACATCTGAACTGTCATTTCCATCACCGTCATCTTCGGCACCGCTGACATCTCCATTACCATAATTTTCAACAGCATATCTTCACTATCACAATTGCTATAATCTCCAGCGCAACAATTACACCTACAATTACGCTACAATTACCTCCATCATCTTCATTCTCAGCAGTGCTGTTATCTTCACGATCATCTTCATTACCATCATCTTTACTGTTTTCTGAAATTACTATTATCTTTTCTATCCTCATCACTCATCATCAATATTATCTTCTCTGTCATATCCATTATTATAATCATCAGTGCTATTATTCTATTTACTATCACCTTCATTATTTTCAGTCTCAGCACTGTTACTATCTTTCCTATTATTATCATCTTCAGTCACATTATTATCCTCATTGTTGTGTTCAGCAACATTACCTTAACTATCATCTCCATCACCATTTTTATATTCACCATCGTTTCCATGACTACCCTGCTCAGCACTAACAGCACCATTATTATCTTCACTGTCATCCCTGTCAACAGTTTCAACGGTGCAAAAATATGCATTATCTCCAACACCAGTATCTTTATCGTGATTATCTTCATTGTCTGTATTATCATTAATGATGAAAAACAAAACTAGTGTAGCTCACTTATATGAATTCACACATATATAAGGAGGCACAAAAACAAGTTCTGTTACTATTATTAACAGAATTAATTCAATTTGTATGAGAAGTCAAGATGTTCTCTACTAATTTGTAATCCTCCATGACATCACTAAAGATCTTAAAATACCGCCTTTTCATAGCCAGCCTCATTTTTCAATGTTGTAATCAAATCACTCAAGCACTTGGCATCGTCGCACTTTGCTTCCTGCTCTGAAGAGTGATCGACAGCTCCAGCCAACATAACTCCCACCCAAAATCCATGGGAGATACTTTTTCAGATCAGGAAATACCTCCCATCTGCCCTCTATTAACTGAAGGACATGATTGTGTCTGACTGCCATGTGAAAGATGTCAAGAACAGCTTCCCCACGTAGGGCTCATGGAGACCCATTATATCACAAATGAATACCAGGACAAACAACATGTTTGTGTGTTCCAGGCTCGATCAGTCATATCAATGTTTACAATTCAGTTGATTTAATTTCATTCCATCAGTGCTCTTCTCCCAGCTCACACATCTGGTGAGGAGAGTTTAAGAGGGAGATCCCAGCTGCTGCCGATCAAGGCACTAACTGCCAGCAGCTGTGGTCTCCCGGGTGAGAACTCGCTGATACACTGTCACGCAGGTCACAAAATAATTATAATGTGACAAAGATCTCTATGAGTGCTCTGCCTCTCCAAATGCGAGGCTGGCATTAGAAGATAGACGTGTGTATCGTTTTTGGACAGATCTCAGCCGATGGGGTGCAGCTGGCATCGCTGTGTGGTCAGCTGTCCTTCGAGGAGCTGCAATCCCAGGTTAATCCCATGCTGCACACCTCTGGCAGCTCTCTCGTCGTACGTTTCCATTCGGACTATTCCAACACCGAGAGACACACCGGCTTCCGGGCAATATTTTCTACCCAGGGTAAGAAGGAACAATACGAGCTTTCGAACGCAACATAATGGGTTACTGGAGCAGTAAAGGCAAGGTTAATTTGACAATAAAATGCAGAGGCCGTGTCATGGAAATTTTATAATAGCATTTGAACCAGGTAGAAACATGGCTGTGGCTGCTCTGTATGTGATCAGGTGACAGGAAACAAAGCTGAGCATGATTAAGGTTTTTTTTTTTTCAACTGGAAATTATGATGAGAAAATCAGAGAGACTTTTAATAGCGATGATGTCCTCGCTGTCACAATCGGTTAAGGGCTCATCTCTGACTTAAGCTGAGTTTCTCTATAGTCTATAGTCCATTGCAAACAATGCCTTGACAAATGTTGATGACTTCAAATGCACTTACTTTAGTTTATTGCTGACAGCTTTCATACTATTCCTGCATAATACGAGAAATGCTTTCATAGAGGCTACTGCACATAATGTGCACGAATAGAATATGATTTATGACTTGTCCTTAACAACATAATGTGTACAAAAACATTTTATTCTAAAGTATAATACTTGTCTCATTTGTACCAGTGGTTAAAGTTGAGACCATGATTTGTGGTAGAATTTTGCCTCCACCTTATTTATTTTTCAATGTGTGGCATGACATTGTCTTCCGAATACTATTTTTTAGCATTTCTAATTGTACGAAAAGTTGATTGCTGCTCAGCATAGAAAGTCATTTGCCAGTTTGTGATTTGATCTGCACTGAGTGTGAAAAACTGTCTAGACCTTCCAGATCGGGAGGAGATTTGTGAAACTTCCCCGTATATCACTTTTTTAAGCAGAAATGTATATGACTATAACTTGAGGATGTTTAAGTCAGTGCTCTCTGTGAGTCATGTCTGGTGGCTCTGAGAAACAAGCTCCATCAGATGCTATTGTGAAAGGCTTCTTACGTAGGAAATTGTTTGTTAACTTGAGATTTAACTTCCTCATTCTCAACCAGCCAACCATACATTCCAACCAATCTCCCTTGCAATTGTGTAGCAGAAGAAATGTTTTACGTCAAAAGATAAGATCACTTTATTGGCCATATATAATTTCTACAAAAAGAATTTGTCTTTTCACATACCCCAACTTGCTCTCCATGAGACACATGGAGACACATGGAGACACATGGAGACACATGGAGACACATGGAGACACATGGAGACATATGGAGACACATGGAGACAGACCTTGGGATCAGAGCACAGGGTCAGCCATTTATATGGCTCCCCTGGAGCAGTTGGGGTTAAGGGCCTTGCTCAGGGGCCCAACGGAATAGAATTTCTCTGCCACTCACTGGATACGAACAGGCAACCATTGGCAACCGGCAACCGGCAAACACAATGTTTCAGCTGTGGAGCCTTCTTCGGGTGCCACACTGTAAAATGCCCACCTAAGTGACGATAAGATAAGCGACGGCACATATATGATGCTTTGGATAAAAATAACAGCCAAATAAATGTAAGAAATATATTCAGAAATGAACAATTACTGTGTTACAGGAATCTGCCAATTCTAAAGCTCAGTAGATGGGACCAGGAGGTGGTGCTGTCATCGAGCTGATACTAGAACTGTTAGATCACGATGCGGACTCTAAAGAGGCCACATGTGCTCTGCAATTTCGAGGAGAGGGGTGTTACAGACTGGGCGGTCATGCTTATTTCAGTAATCCAGCTGGGAAAGAGGCTAGATGGGGCTAGAACATGAGAGAGGTTACAAAGAAGAGAAGTTGTGTTGCTCACAGGGTTGCGAAGAGCTATTTGATCTGAGGATCTTGTCTGACTAGTGGCAGAGGCTGGCAAAGCAGTCTGGTTTAGATTAGGTTGCATTCAGGGTTTGTTTTTGAATACTGAGACTTTGGACTTCTGCACTAATGTTTCACCTGTTTCATGTTTATATATATATAGAACATTACTGTAGTTAAGAACATTGCTGCTTGGATGAATCTCATGCCACACAGCCCACCCCCTCACAATCAATGCTTTAAATTTGTAAATCTATCCCATCGATGTAAGTGTTCTGTCCTTTGTGCTTCATTGTGCATAAACCATTCATTCTGTGTTTCTCTCTCTTTCTCTCCCTCAGATATTGATGAGTGCTCAGACCCATACAATGAATGCACACAATTCTGCAACAACTACATTGGGGGATACTATTGCTCCTGCCAGCCAGAATACGCCTTGGACCTTGACAACCACACCTGTACAGGTACACTGAAAACTCGACTGACACCAGTACAGGTACTTGTGAATACATGACCTACACCCGTAACCAGCAGCCATATCATCCAGTAGCTCAGCAGGTGTGAGCCTGGTCAGTACCTCGATGGGAGACCTCCTGGGAAAAACTAAGGCTGCTGCTGGAAGGGGTGTTAGGGGGGCCAGTAGAGGCTGCTCACCCTGTGGTCTGTGTGGGTCCTAATGTCCCAGTATAGTGACGGGGACACTAGAGTGTAAAAAGATCTAATCTTCAGATGAGATGTATAACCAAGGTTCTGACTCTCTGTGGTCATTACAACTCCCAGGGTGTTTCTTGAAAAGAGTAGGGGTGTTACCCCGGTGTCCTGGCCAAATTTCTCCCTGGCCTTTACCAATCATGGCCTCCTAATAATCCCCATCTCTGAACTGGCTTCATCATTTTGCTCTCCTCCCCACTGAGAGCTGGTGTGTGGGGAGAGGACTGGAGCATCATCCAGGTGGGGCTGCACACTGATGGTGGTGACAGTGGGATTCCCTCTTACCTGTAAAGCACTTTGAGAGGAGTGTCCAGAAAAGAGCTATATAAGTGTAAGGAATTATTAGTAATTATTATCAGGTACAGGTAGTACAGGTACAATGAATACACCACCTACACCAGTACAGGTACAATGATACAAAATGGACACCTGTACAGACTCGATAGGTGCAGTTCATGCAGAAAAGATAAACAGAAAGATCTGCATAGACAGATACTCAGACAGATGTGTTTTCACAGGTAGATACATCAGTAGGACAGCTTGCATGGGGAGGTACTGTACATGGACAGAAGGCCCCCAGTGCTCATGTACAAATCTGTGGTGAAACTCTGATCTCCTGATCTCTATCAGAAACAAGACCTTTGTAGGAGGATTTAAGCTGTGATTTTGATAAATATGGAACATTTTGCCTGAAAGATTATTTTACCTGCCCACTAAATGCACAGTTGTATTCTAAAAGAAGAGATGTGTGCCCCTTTTTTTAGTCCCAGTACTACCAGCAGTGAAAGGAGTAATTTTAATGGGGTTTTATTTTCTATTTCTTATTTACTACACTAGAAATGAGATAGGAATCATTCATAAAAACCAAGCAAAATGTCCCTCAGCATCTGACTTCAAAATGGTCCTAACTGGTTAACTTATGCACATACTGTAGAACAATTTTTATTTGTTACAACAGGAAGAGCTTTTTAATCACAATTTAAACACTAAAAATGATGGTTTGATAACTGGTTAGTGGTCTGGACATGTACTGTACCTGGAAGGCTGTGGATTCAAATTCCAAGTAGGGCACAGCTGTTGTATTCTTGAACAAGAGACTTTTCTCACACTCCTCTCAGCTGCATACACTGTATGAGTAATAATATATGGCTTTGGAACAAGAGTCAGCCAAATTATATGATTATAATCATTTAGCTGCAATGCCTGACTTATAGTTTAGACTGCAGTCCACTTTGAGACATTCTTGGTTGTGCAGTATCAGGAGCTGCTAAATACCAGAGAGATCTGCTTCTACAATACAGTACGTGTAGCTCAAATAATAGTTATAGTACTGTACATGCGATTGGGTTACAGAGACTCTGTGATTGAGATCTGATGCCAGCTAGTGGAGAAATAAAAAAATATATATTTCAGCTCATTTGTGTTACCCGTGACTTTTATTACCCTACTAAATGGCAAATAGTACGTATTTTGTCAAACTATCATTCCCATTTTATTGTCTTGATCTGTTATGGATTATTGTGGTTTTAGCTGAATCAAATAAAGATGGATTGTAAACTTCCTTAACTATTAAACTATTGAGCTAGCAGAGCCAACAACTGTGCTGGTACAGCTTCATCACGCTAAGGAATTTAGACTTGCACATATCTTACTAATGTGTTCCTGTTGTTACCAGTTACAAAATATAACTTGTTGTATGTTTCCAGAATATGTGGTAAATCCTTTGGGCTTTCTCTCTTACGCATACAGTATAAGAATGCACTAGTTTAAATTATATGTTACTCCCACTCCGATTGTTAAAACCCCCTGACCTAGTCCAGTGGCTCTATTTGTCCCTTTCCTCTCAGTCAACTGCAGTGTTGACCTGGGGAGCTCCACCAGGGGCTCAGTGTCCAGTCCTGGACATCCCAGCTCCTACCCAGAACACGCCGCCTGCTCCTACCGCCTGAGCATTGATGAAGGATTCCAGTTGGTCATTGACTTTGAGGATCCCTTTGACATTGAGGGACAGAGAGGAGGACCCTGCATAGACTCATTGCAGGTCAGTGTTTGGTCTTTCTGTATTAATCAGTATTAATAAACATCTCTAGGATGTACATAAAATTCTGAATGAATCTATGTTAGGTGTGTCTCTAGAGTCAATATGGGGGTATTAATCTGCACTAGGTGTGTCTCTAGGGTCTATATTAAGGTCTGTATTAATCTCTGTGTTAGGTATGCCTCTAGGGTCTGTATTAATCTCTGTGTGTTAGGTGTATCTTTAGGGCCTATATTGAGGTCTGTATTGATCTCTGTGTTTTAGGTGTATCTGTAGGGTCTGTACTATGATCCGCATTAATTTTTCTGTTAGGTTTGCCTCTAGGGTCTGTACTAGGGTCTGTATTAATTTCTCTGTGTTAGGTGTGCCTCTAGAGTATATATCAGGCTCTCAACTAATCTCTCTGTGTTCATTCTGATTTAAGAGACTATGTTAAAGACCAAATTGATCCTGTAAATACTTTCTACTTCTCAGATTAAGACCCCATCTCGTGTATTTGGGCCCTTCTGTGGTGACCAGGCCCCCCCTTCTCTGATCACTGGGTCTCATCAGATGGAGATTTTATTTAACACAGATGGCTACGGAACCAACACTGGCTTCACACTCACCTACAGAGCCAAAGGTAAAGAGCGAAATACGTGCAAAAGAGACAACAACAAGTTCCCAAAGGTCAGGAAAGTGATGGAAATAAAAAAGTTCTCTTTTCTATAATATATCCCATCCTTTTTGAATTTCCAATATGAAAGTGTCATCAGTGTGTCTTGCAAAATGAATTGTTAAAATGATTTGATTCTATGATATTACTCTAGTAGAGTTTTAAGCAAGAGAGAGACTGTGTTTCTAAATCTAATGCAGTTGAAGATCTCCCATGTGGTGTACTCCACTGAGTGGACTGGTATATCTTCCTCAGTGATGACTGATTGTGCTGGTGTCTTCCCCCAAGATGGACTTACTTACTGAGCAATGAGGAAAGATATGAGTTTTGAAAAGAGGGTTAACTAACTTCTTTCTGCACAAAGACGTCTTCTGTTACAAAATATTCCATGCTTCAGCACTAGAGTCAGAGCAAGGATGGGAGTTAGCTGATAAGAAGTGCGAGCTAGAGACTCCCTAACTATGGGAGGATGAGACCAGCCATTCAAAGTGTTCAAGGCCTTGAGAATGTCCGAACACAGATGGTCTTCCTCCCCATTACCATGGTAACAATTTGAGCTAGAAACGGCTGAAGTTTTTTATATAAACTGGTGCTCTGCACCTATAATCTTTGAACAGTTCCGATTGTATTGTTCCTTGCATGCAATAAAACTCATGCAAAACAGCTTCATCTCGGGGGTCCAGAACTTATTTGTTTGTCATAACAAGCAGATACCTGTCTCCCCAGGTGGATGACTTAATGATTAGACGGGCATCTGGCCCTGAGTGACTGACGTCTTGTGCAGGTATCTGCTTTTCCAGCCTATAAGACATTTTGGGATATACAGTACAACAGTAAGGGCAAGCACCTTCGTCTCCTTAAATGTAAAACAGGCTCTGAAAGATGTTGTGAAAGTAAACTTCTCATTACATTAGTGGTGATGGTGTTCATAATGAAGAGTGAGGAGATGATGATAATAATGATGGTGTTTCAGCCAAGACGTGTCCCAGTACAGTGACGGCTCAGTCCAGTCTGATCCCTGGATGGCCCCAGTATGAATATGGAAACAAAGTCACGGTGCAGTGTGACACCGGGTTTGAGGCTGCGATGGACTCTGTGAGTACATACAGTTGATATATAATAAAAAATAAACAATATGTACATTATCTGCT